TACAGAGCAACAGAAAGTAGCTTTGGCTACTTATGAATTCAGTGACTATGCTGCTCGGTGGTGAGAGCAGGATCGTCTCCGACGACAGCAAAATTTGCAGCCTGAGGTTACAGCGTGGACCGAATTGCGCGGATTAATGTGGAACATATTCATTCCTTCTTATTACTAGTGCGAGTTACACGAATCTCTACAAGGAATTCGATAGGGATCACGGAGTGTTGAGGAATATTTCCGAGAATTGGAATTGCTCCTAATGCGGGCCAACATTTGTGAAGACAGGGAAGCGACAATTTCACTATTCCTCCATGGCCTGAATCGTGAAATTCGACACGAAGTTGATCTGAGATCGTTTTTCGATCTAGAAGAAGTCGTGCACCTCGCCGTTAAGGTTGAAAAGCAGCAGAAAGCGGCGACGAGTAAACGATACACTTTGGTGACCAAACTTGCACCTGAGTCAACAGCTGACTCTAATCCACCTCCACCACTGCCTGACACCAGCAAATTGGCTACCAAAAATGTTCTTCCAGCTGCTACTGAACGATCTAGAGCCATTCAGTGTTTTAAATGTCATGGTCGAGGCCAGAAAGCCAACCAATGCCCAAATTTGAAAACCTTTGTGATCAGGGAAGGGGACTACGTTTCTGACGAGGAGAAAACCTCGTCTGATGTCGAAGAGTTGGAAGAAGAAATTGAAGTTGAAACCCCTCCTCCTCTAGGAAAACTCATGGGTGTAAATCGACGAGCTCTCACCATTGTAATAGTCAGAATGAGTTTTTTTCGAATCAGAGTTTTCAAGTTTGAATTCACAAAGTTTGCTTTGTGAGTTGGTTGGATTGCTTGGTGGCTTCCAAGTAGTTTGTGTGCTTGTATTGAACAAGTAAACACCTTGTTCGTGGCCTAGCTTCTACCTATCTATTTCGAGTCTTTCCTCATTGTGTGGAATTACAAGAAATCGACCATCCATTGACCTACATTCACCCCCTGTTTTTGTTCGAGTTTGGGAATTGAGCAAGCTCAATTCGTTGTTGGACCCATCTAGGGCCTCGTCATGGGGAATCTCCTAAATCCGTGTTGTAGTTGTTGGTTGGTGTTTTTGAGTACATAGGGAGGGTGGGGGTTCTTGGGTTTTTGGTTTGTTACATTGATCAAAGCACGTGGCATGTGGGTCTGTGCAAATTTCAAGTATGTAAGTTGACTTTGGTTTGAAGGGGCATGTAAGAGAGTGGTTCATGATTCATAATTAACCTTCTCTAAAAACTCAAGTTATTGGGACCAACTAGTTTATGAATTTTTCCAGATTTTTTGAAGAGAGAGAGAGAGAGAGAGAGAGAGAGAGAGAGAGACGAAGAGATAGAGAATCTAAGGGCAATTGCGACGAGCGGCTCGCGAGGAGGAGAGAGAAGCCATATCTAGCGGATCTATGCTATTGCGAGAAGGAGGTTACGAGAGAGGATGGAACACCGTTTTGCCACATGTGCATGGCAAAAGAGAACACAGTTGTCATAGCGTCTTGGGAGAAGATTCATTTGAGATGTTTGTTAGAAAATAAAGGGCATACTAATGACCCCCTTCATCACATCAGGAGGCCTCATCACCATATCCCTCCAGATTAGTCAAAATTTAACCCGAACTTATTGTATTAGAAGGTTTAATGATGACCCCCTCATCACACCGGGAGGAGTACTGCAATACTTTTCCAAATTTTGGAGTGCATGTGTGATGGCATGGATGTCAAAGGCCCAAAAAAAAAACATATGTGGCTTGTGTTAATTGATTTTCATTGTACCCTGCTACATGATGACACCCCCCGGTCAATCGTCACTCGACAACAGCTCTGTCCTGCCAGTCAATTAGAAGAGCTTCCTACTAAAAATCCGGAATTATGCGCGCGATCTGTTGAATAGACTGCAGGAAGGGGGCAGGACCTGTCCTTCATCGTTATAGGTAATTAGTTGAGTTTATAAAGTGATTTAATCTTTTGTATTCTATTGATATGGTACAAAAGTTAATTTAATTTTTAGGATAAGAGGGCGGCAATGGTAATAAGAGTTGAAAAAGCTCTTCTTGGTCAAGACAAAGCGAATGGTGAGCAGATCGAGCCAAACGGAGGAGGGGTGAGGATTCATTGGAAACGTACACAGAGATACGAAGTCCAACCGGAAATGGTATACCACTTCAATACCGAAAAATTCTGTATATGACAGACAGGCCATGCATACATAAACGAAACTAGCTTATTAAAGGCGCAGCCATGCATAGACTACATCAAGAAGCTGAAACAGATAAAAAGATAATACCGGCACGAATCACTTCTCTTTTTATTTATCCTCCACACGTTCCTGCATTGGTGGCCAATCAACTATTTTTTGTTGCAGAACTTGTAGCTCTCGAACCTCATGAAACAGTTGTTCATGGTGACTCCCGCCCCCCACTTATCCGAACAGCTCGCCGACAGCGCCGCGAGGGCGCGTTGGATGCAGGCCGCGCAATCGGAGACGTCGTTGAAGCAGGACACGGCGCCGTATGCCCAGATATCGTGGTCGGAAGCACGGTAGCAAAGCTTCTCCCCAGGGTGCTTGATGAGGTCCGGTGTCGCGGTCACAAACTTCCTTATCAGGTTCACGAACGCGCCCGCGATGTGCGAGCCGTCCTTTATCATGTGGACGTTGCATTTCGGAACGCCTACAGCTGCCATTGTATCTGCTGCTTGCCACCTGCTGCTCTGATCAGCGCTGCTGGTGCAGCTGCAAGCCAACCAGATGAACATCGCTGCTGCTACCATCTTCACAGAACTAGATCCTCTCATAATAATCATCATCCTTTCTTTCTTATTGTTTCTTAATTGTCTGATCTTGTATGGAGTTAGTGTTAGATAGCTAGATAGCTAGCTCGAGAGTACTTTCCATCCATTGGGGCTTCAGTTATAGGCTGCATTTCTTTGTCATTTCTCATTCAAAGTATAGTGCATGCTGCCGAATTGCCGAACATGGACGATCAAAGATCACTAACCCCAAACATGTGGTTTAACTATCACCAAAAAACGTTTTCGTATGGTAAGTGATTTCAAGTGGTTAGTGATTTCAAATAACTATGTACCTTTTTCGTGTCTTTTACCAATATATTTGTATTTTAGTTAATAATTGTAGAATATGATATTACTCTGCAGCAAACTTTATTTTATGTAATGAATATAACATTGCATTATGGAAATTATCAAGGCAGCGAAAGATTTATGTAACACGCTACATTTAATTGTTGTATACGGAATAATCGTCGATCATCTTCTACTATTCAAGAATTTTTTTTTATAATCCATTCATTTTTATTCTTATTCACACCATTCGAAAATTTGGACAGTTTTACTACTGTTCAAGATTTTCATTCATCATCAATATTCTTATTCACACCATTAGCAGTTGGATATCCACTGACACTAATGTGTCCCTTGTTGGTAAGGTGTTCATTGACAATTTTGCTCGGGATACACATTACAATATATGAAAATTACATTCCTATCTCTGACGTATTCAATGATGGGGTAATATCCATGATCCTCATCGAAATGATTTTTCACGTTCTGACAATTGTCGTTGAAGCACCACCTTCTAGGGCTCCAAAATCCCATGCCACATGTAAGCTGGATGGGTATCAGTTGTATTCGTTTAAATCAAAATGAAATTTCAGAAATCAAAATCTCGAGACAAGTATTTCCCTTGAAACTTAACCGAATCGCTAAGATACTTAACAGTTTTGTTTCAAGGAATCACAAATCGAATGTATTTGGTTGTTTTCCTTTTAAATTTTCTTTCTCTTTTTTGTTTGACCGCGTTTGCGGTTTCGATTTCTTAGTGTTTTTGGTTTAAAGCAAAACCAAAACCGATAAATGCAAAGCTATTTGAGGCCGATACCAATACGAACATCTCGTCAATTCGATTTTCTTCTAAATCAAAATACCAAAACCAAACTGTCTGTCCTCCTGGTTAGCCTTCCATCGTTGTCCACTCTCCGCTATCCGGTTGATATTTGATCGCTAGCATGGTGATTAACTTGCCCAATCAAATTTATTAATTTTATAAAATCGTATCGAAGATTGTACCAAAAAAATTTGAAATAATAGTTTAACTATTTCATATCAACTTGAAATTTTTCTATATAGTTTCCGAACCACTGATTTTAATACGACGAGATCATCATACAGGCACATTTTATTACAAAGTATCCACTCCAAGTCTTCAACCCCCTGATAGATGGGCCTCTGCATTGAGCCAGAGCCCATACTTGAAAAAAGGGGCCTTGTAAAAAAAAGTCTATTTATATAGTGGATTGACGTTGACCCGTTTGGAAATTTTAGATTTAGAACGTGGAATTTGGCAGCTAATGATGACACATGGCAGCTTTTAATTGGGCGTATGACAATAGCAGACTGAGATTTTTCCCACGGGGGAAAGAATCTTCAGCTTACTCCAGTTCTACTTCTACTTCTACATATATAGATGGTCAGACACTGAGAAAGGAGAATCATACGACATCGTTCAACCTTTCTCCCTCCCAGGAGAAAAGCCCGCGCAACAGTCCCCCGCCTCTCTTTTTATACCGTTTCCCTTTTCAAATTCCCCCGTGAGCCAGACTTCTAGGGTTCTTGGACCTCTGCTTCTACTCCTCCTCTCGTCGAAGCTTTCTTACGTCTTTCTCCCATTGATTCGCTGATCAAGTAAGAAGAGCTTCTCTTCCACTCTCTGCTTTTATCCGCTTCACCTTTCGTCCTGTCTTTCCACCCCAGATTTCTATTTGATCTGTTTATGTGCTCTTCAAGTTATCTAATATGTTGACAAGCGATTCCGTTCTCTTCATCTTCACTGAGAAAGATCGAATTTGGTCGTTGCTAGCTAGGGTTTCGATTTCGCTATCTGATTAAGTCTTGGGGGTGTTACTCTAGGGGTTTTATTCATTGTTGAAATTCTTTTAGGGTTTTGATTTGGTGGAAGAAGAAAAAGAGAACAATGGGAGGAGGATTCAGGGTGCTGCATCTGGTGAGGCCGTTCCTTCCTATTTTACCTGAAGTCCAGAGTCCTGATAGGAAGATCCCCTTTCGAGAGAAGGCAACCTACACTGTGATCGCTCTGTTCATCTACCTGGTGTGCAGCCAGCTCCCGCTCTTTGGCATACACGACACTACAGGCGCGGATCCATTCTATTGGATGCGCGTCATGCTCGCTTCCAGCCGGGGGACGGTGATGGAGCTTGGGATTACCCCGATTGTCACATCGGGAATGGTGATGCAGCTCTTGGCTGGTTCTAAGATCATTGCTGTTGACAACAGCGTCCGTGAGGATCGCGCTTTACTGTGAGTGTTCTTTATAGAACCCTGACTTAATTGACATTAATTTGGACAAGATTACAGTCTTATTGTTGACCATGTTATATTTGGCACAGTTGACAGGATGTTATTGGTATGCATAAAACTCTTTTGTGAGGTTCGTAGGATCTTTAGATTCTATGATTTCAGATAAACGACAGGCAGAATCTATAATTAGACTGCCTTAGGTGTGAATGGTGGAGTAAACATTGAATGCTTGTATATCACAAGGTGCTCAACGTCTTAGAGGTTATGGAATAAGGGATTTGACTTTGGCCAATTTGTTGCAATGGAGTCAAAATCGCATGTCAACTCCTAAAAAATTTAGGCATTTTTTTGTTTGGTCAACTGAAAATAGTCTGATTGTAGTGTTGCTTGTGTCCTTCATCTGATAAAAATTTAGAGTTGTTGGTGACAATGGAGTTAGATGGCTGAGTTTACTGGTATCTTATCGTGTAATGCTCTTACCTTGCACTGAATCATAGTTTTTATATGTCAGTCTTTTCATCTGACATTTTGGTTTTGTAACCAGGAATGGCGCACAAAAGCTGTTGGGGATCCTGATTGCGGTTGGTGAAGCTGTTGTATATGTGCTCTCTGGGATGTATGGAAGCGTTGGTCAGTTGGGAGTTGGGAATGCGATTCTCATCATTATTCAGTTGTGCTTTGCCGGAATCATCGTCATGTGTCTGGATGAGCTGCTACAGAAAGGCTATGGTCTTAGCTCTGGGATTTCTCTTTTCATTGCTACCAACATCTGGTATGATCAATAATTTAAATGTATTTGGATCAAATTGGTTTGTGCTAGATGGATAGGCGGGTTGGTTGATTGCCATCCTACTACGCTTATTTTTTTCTTCTGGTTATTGTCCTTTCTTCTGCAGTGAAAACATCATCTGGAAAGCATTCAGTCCAACGACAATCAACAGCGGCCGTGGAGCTGAGTTTGAGGGCGCTGTGATTTCCTTGTTCCATCTCCTGATCATAAGGACAGACAAAATCCATGCTCTGAGAGAGGCTTTCTATAGGCAGAATCTTCCAAACGTCACCAGTTTGCTCGCGACGATCTTGATCCTCCTTCTCGTTGTCTATCTCCAAGGTTTTCGTGTCGTGTTGCCCGTGAGATCAAAGAATGCTCGTGGGCAGCAGGGCTCTTACCCGATCAAGCTTTTCTACACCTCCAACATGCCTATCATTCTCTATCATGCACTTGTTTCCAACCTTAATATCATCTCTCAGGTACTGAATTATTACAATTCATTGATTTGATCTGAACAAATTTGATGCAATGCCTGATGATCATGCTTTCGTTGCAGTTGCTTTCCAGGAAGTACGGTGGAAACTTCGTTGTCGACTTGTTGGGACAGTGGAAGCAGTCTGAATATTCTGGCGGTCAGTTCGCTCCCGTTGGTGGTCTGGCATACTACATAACTTCACCAGCAAGGTAAAGCAGCTTCTATTTCGCTTACGTTCATCGTCTGCTTTCTGTATGGTGTGTTTATGATCTTCGTACGTTGCAGCTTGGCAGATGTAGCAGCCGATCCATTCCACGCATTGTTTTACCTAGTGTTCATGCTGGGAGCTTGCGCCCTGTTCTCCAAAACCTGGATTGAGGTGTCCGGGTCTTCTGCTCGCGATGTCGCCAAGCAACTTAAGGTCGAGGACGATTCAGAGTGATCTTATTGATTAGATGCTGTTTTCATATCCAGACCTACTAAACTGGTGTGTTCTTTCTTCCTTGTTTAGGAGCAACAAATGGTGATGCCAGGACACCGGGATTCGAACCTCGAAAGGGAGCTGAACCGATATATCCCGACGGCAGCTGCCTTTGGTGGGATCTGCATTGGTGCATTGACTGTGCTGGCGGATTTGATGGGGGCAATAGGTTCTGGAACAGGGATTCTGCTGGCTGCCACCATTGTCTGCCAGCTCTATGAGACCTTCGAGAAGGAGAAGGCCCGTGAACTCGGCTTCTTTGGCTTTTGAGCTACTAGTGAGAGCGACAGACTTGAAATGTCCATATGCATCGTTATAAAGTAGTACAATTTTAACATGAAAAATTACCGGAAGAATCTGAGTGTTGACCACGATTAGTCATGCTATTGATAAATAAAAAAGGTGTTACATATCCTTTCCTCAACTTTTAAACAAAATTGAAGTACTTAACCAAATGGTATCCTTACTAATACAGGATGATTAACATAATACAAAAGAAGTAAGTAACATGTACGAGGATGGACCTAATTTTAAACTAATTCAACCGACATCCAATTTAGGAGTGACTGGTGTATGAGGATGGGCCTAATTTTAAACTAATCCAACCGACATCCAACTAAGGAGTGATCGGTGGTGGGATGCGTTGAGTGCATTTATTTTATAACTCACATCCATCTATATGAAACCACTCACAACATTCTAAGTGGATATACATGAATTAATTTTGTGCTTTTTGTGAATCAACCAATCTAATATTCGCCTCTGGGTAGGTTAGTGATTATATTAAAGATAAGTAGGGTATGAAATAGGAATAAGTCGAATACTAAACTTCTCAAACTAGTAGCTTATAGTTAAAAAAAAACTACTTAAGAGAAAACTCTACTACTTGAGCGCCAAGCAACAGAAGCTCAATCATAAATAAATACATGAAGTAGGTCCAAAATTCAAGTCAAAACTTGAAACGCAGACGACAAGTTATATAGGCAAGACCAAGAAAGAATAAGGTACAAAAGGGCGCATATAAAGACACCTGGATTGATCGGCCATCTCGTTATATAGTTAATTGCTTCTTAGACTCTAATGTTTGATCCATGCCGAATTGCCAATTGATGGTGACAAATATCCCAAATTTTGCCTATTAACTATTTCTCCACTGTATTTCATAAAAAAATATGATATTGGTTCTTCATAAGTTTTTCTAGGTCGAATCGAATTAATAATTAGATGATAGTTTTTCACGAACAATTCTTCATATGTTAGCTCGAAATCTATGGAGAGATGGAGATAATTCTTGATAAGCACCTAGACAACCAAGTCATTTAGTGAGAAAATTGAATATATAATTTTTCGAAAGATTTCTATTTTGGAGAAATCAAATCATATGAACTATAGAGATGACTAGAGACATCCTCTTTTGGAGATCTCAAAACCCTTTGTACAAGATAATGGTTCGGGTCCTTGTCTTGAACGCTCAATGAGTTTCGAAATCAATACTCAAAATAATCGACAGAGTTGTGTTCGATGACACTCATAGAACTTTTATACAGGAGAAATTGTAATACAAAATTAACACCAGAGATGAAATGGAAACCCTAAAAACCTGATTTGTTCTCATTCACTTTGAAGCATATATATGGTTTCCAATAGCTACAGTCCAAAGCTTGAAGGTAAAACAAAGTGAAAAAAGTACAGGGGTGAAAACAGAGAAGACAGTATTTGAACTCCAACGTTCCTATTGCTGACTTGGCGTCATCTTCTTCTTCTTCCCTTGTACGATGTCGCTCCAGCTTAAGTGATGCGTTTCGGTTAGTGATTGTTTTTGTTCAGCTGTTACCCCCCCCCCCCCCCCCGCGCAAGCTGGTGGGCAGAGAATCTGCAGACCAAGCTTAGAGAGAAGGTAAGTGAAGGTGGCAGGAGGCAATGGTTTGGTGAAGATGTCCGCCAACTGGTGAGAGGAAGAGACATGTAGGATCTTGATTGTGTCAGATTGGAGCTTCTCACGAACCAAATGGCAGTCAATCTCTATATGTTTAGTTCGTTCATGGAATGTAGGATTCTCTGCAATGTGAATTGCAGATTGGTTGTCACAGTATAGACTTGCTGGTTGAGGATGAGGCATATGGAAGTCACGCAGCAGATACAGTAACCATTGAATCTCACAGGTTGTGAAGGCAAGAGCCATGTACTCAGCTTCACAAGAAGACCTGGAGACAGTGTGCTGTTTTTTGCTTTTCCAGGAGATAAGTGATGAACCAAGGTAGATACAGTACCCTGTAATGGATCTTCGAGTGTCTGGACAGGAAGCCCAATCTGAGTCACTGTAGCCCTTGAGGTGTAGATCATTAGCATATGGAAAGAATAAGCCTGTACTCGGCGCATACTTTAGGTATCTGAGAACTCTGAGTAAGGCTTTGTAATGTTCTTCACCTGGATTGGCCATGAATTGACTCAGCTGCTGAGTTGAGAAGCTGATATCAGGGCGAGTTATGGTGAGGTAGATCAGCTTCCCAACTATTCGTCTATATAGTTCACCATCAGAGAGAGGCACATCATGAGTTGCAGACAGATGGGATTTGTAATCCATGGGAGTGGTAACTGGTCTGGATAGGAGAACACCAGCCTCTTCAATCACTTCAAGGGTATACTTTCTCTGAGAAAGGTGTATCCCAGAAGTGTCACGAGAAACTTCAAGGCCAAGGAAGAATTTCAGATCACCTAGATCCTTAATGCTGAAGGTGGAGTGCAGGAACTCTTTGATGTGTGAGATCTCAGTCAGATCATTACCACCAATGATCAGGTCATCCACATAAATCAAGATGCAAGTATATGATGTAGTAGTGGCTTTAAAGAAGAGAGAATGGTCCACTTTGCTTGATTGATAACCCTGTGCATACAAGCTGTCAGCCAGTGTAGCATACCATTGTCTCGGGGCTTGTTTCAGTCCATAGAGGGACTTCTTCAACAGACTGGGTTTGAGATACCAGGAGGGGCTTTATAACCTTTAGGCAGCTTCATATACACTTCCTCCTGGAGATCTCCATGGAGGAAGGCATTGTTGACATCAAGTTGGTGGACAAACCAATTCTTGCCAGCAGCAATGGCTAAGAACATTCTGACAGTGGTGAGTTTGATGACTGGAGCAAATGTATCCTGGTAATCCACTCCCTCTTGTTGACTGAATCCTTTGGCTACAAGTCTTGCCTTGTGCAGGTCAAGCTGTCCATTGGATAGGAATTTCAGTCTAAATATCCATTTGCTGCCAATGGCTCGTTTGCCTGGTGGGAGACTTACAATGATCCATGTATTGTTCTTTAAGAGTGCCTGTATTTCCCTCTGAACAGCCTCATTCCATTCAGGATACAACATAGCTTCCTCATATGTGTCTGGTTCTTTGTGAGATGAGATACTGAGAACAAATTTTTGATGTGGGGATGATAGACTGGAATAATCAAGAACAGCAGAAAGGGGGTAAGTGATACCTGATTCTTGGTTCTCTGAAGAGTGACTGGTAGAAGAAGACTGCATGAGCAGGTTGCAATGGTATTTTTGAAGTTTGGAGGGTGGTTTGGTGGTTCTGGGTTGTTTTCTAAGGGCAATTGGGAGGGAGGGTGGGGTAGGTTGTGTTGCTGGACTGGGTGGATCAGGCTGATCAGAGGTAGGTTGGCTGAGGGATGGTTGTAGGGGTAATGATGAAGGAGGGATAGCAGGTGGTTGGGAAGTCATGGCTAGGTCAGGGAAGTCCATAGATGGATCAGTGGTGTAAAGAGGAGGGTGATCAGATTGGTCAAGTGGGGATGGTTCAGGGAATTGTTCTTGAAAGGGAAAGATGTGTTCATAAAAGATCACATCTTTGGAGATAAACACTTCATGGGTGTGTAATTCATAAATTTTGTACCCTTTAATCCCTATAGGATAGCCAATAAATACACATTTTCTGGCTCTGGATTGGAATTTGGTTCTATGGTTGCTTAAGGTTGAGGCATAACACAGGCAGCCAAAGACCTTTAAGTTTTGAAAATCTGGTGGTTGTTGATTAAGCTTTTGATATGGAGTGAGTTCACCTAGAACTGATGTAGGAACACGATTGATCAGATACACAGCATGTCTCACACACTCCCCCCAAAACCCCATAGGAAGATGTGATTGAAATTTCAGTGCCCTTGCAACTGCCAAAATATGCTGGTGTTTTCTCTCAACCTTACTGTTTTGCTGGGGTGTTTCAACACAAGACATCTCATGAACAATGCCAGTGGAGGAAAAGAAGTCTGACATTGAGAACTCTCTGCCCTGATCACTCCTAATCTTTTTGACATAATGATTGTATTGTTTTTCAGTAAGGTTGCAGAATTCTTGCAGTTTTGGGCGTGCCTGAGACTTGTTTTCAAGCAAGACTATCCAGGTGAGTCTACTGAAGTCATCAACTATAGTTAAGAAGTATTTAAAACCATCAAAAGTGGGATAAGAACAAGGACCCCAAATATCAACATGTATTAAGGCAAAAGGATGTTCTGAAACAGTAGTACTGTCTGGAAAGGAAAGCCTTCTTTGCTTTGCAAAGTGGCAAACATCACAAGGTTTTGAACTCATGGTTTCTATGGATTTACAAAAAGTTTTCAGCTGTGGTATCTTGAAGTGAGAGACATGTCCTAATCTATAGTGCCAGAGATCAAAAGCTTTTGCAGTAGTAGTTGCTATGATTGGCTTAGGGCTACTGGGAACTCCTATGTTGGTCATGTGGTAAAGGCCATGGTGAAGCGCAGCAGAACCAGTCACTCTTCTGAGTTCCATATCCTGTATCATACAAAAATTTGAGTAGAAGGTTAAGCAGGTCTGCAATTCTCTAACAGGTGCAGGGAACATACAATATGAACAGAGGCACCTGTATCCAAGATACAGGTAGAACTGGATGGTTTCCTACCAGATATAGTGAAGGATGATTTACCTGGTGATCCTTCATAGTTGTTGAAGGCAGCTACTGACTCACTCCTACTGTCACCCTAGAAAATGGCCAAGTATAACCAATTCCTAAAGCGTAGTATAGCGGGTCGGGTTTTAATGTCAACCCGGGTCCTAGATGTGATGACTACTCGGTGAATTCTTGTTATTTAGCAGTGAACTTTTAGTGAAACTCAAGCAAACAAAACACAGAGCAAGTAAACGGTTTGTTGTCAAGTCAAGAGAGGTCACCCGGATATGGTTTCCCCCTAGACTGCAGTTAAGTCGGATTGCAATTTGCCAAGTTCAGTTTTCATGAAAGTTATACTGCGGAAGGTTCTCAATTAGCCTGAAGTCTCGACTAAAGGTCTCCATACCCTCTCAATCTGAGTCTCTAGCGGGCGACTAACCTCCACCGGAGTAAACAGATTGAGGCCCTAATGAACCAAACCTCCACTACCGAATTGACTTCGGTACAGAATAACGAATTGGCCCCTCGACTAAAGTCACCAATTCGCCACCTTCGATTAAGGGTACTCTATCAACCTAGGCAGATATTCTCATTCCAGGTCAAAGCAGAAATAACAGGAATTTGATCAGGATTCAAGTCATTCAATCATTCAAACCTCAATCGAATATAATCAATTCACAACCACTGTACTTGGGTTCATACAATCAGACCTAGCATACAAATCTAGGGTTCTCCATACCCAGATGAATGGGGAAACTACTCCATAGAGAAAGAAGCAAAAGCAGATTCAGACACGGAAATCATACTGTGAAGTTGGATTCCTGCTTCTGGACGTTTAATCGCACTCCTCCAAGCTCAAGACGGGCTCCAATGGTGTTGAAGATCGATCTATGGCGCTTGAGAACTCTGGTTCGACGCTTTCTCTCTCTAGGTATCGGTTTCTCTCTCAAAAACTCGGAACCCTCAATGTTGTTCTTCTTCTCCCTTAAATCCTCTGCCTGGTCGCGATACCCGGTCAGAATACCCGGTCGGGTATTTTGGGTTCTGACCGGGTATCTCTGCAACGCACCGTTTCACTAAAGAGGGAAATCCCCGGTCCAACACCAAAATCCCCGACCGGGGATTTAACTGCTGTGCCCGGGCCCCTCTCTGCTTCTCGGGCGCCCAAAATTGGTTAATACCCGGTCGGGTATTTGGCCACCTGACCGGGTATTTTCCTCCTTCAGCCCTATTCGTCCCAACTTTGCTCCTTTCGACCCAGAACTCGTTTCTCCGCCTCGATTCCAACGCCGGGACCTGAAATATGACATAAACACACAACCTAGCGTGAAATCGGCTTAAAACACGAGATTCCTTGTCACAAACGGCCTCAGAATAGGGGTAAAAACATGTATAATTATCGGTCTATCAAACTCCCCCACACTTAACCGTTTGCTTGTCCCCAAGCAAACCAAGTCAGACACTAGGTAAGCTTTACATATTTCAATCAACCAACACTGGGGACAAGTCATAAGGGCACAAAACACGTGAATCGCACTGGTTTTCAAACATCAATACATGCACAACCTTAATAACAACCTGGACAACCACCACAAAGGACATTCGAGTGCAGCAAATCGAGTAAAGGAAGAGTCTCCCATCTGTTCACTAGCCAACCTAGACTTGATTCAACCACTTACTCAAAACAGTCAATTCATGCATCCAACTCAAGACATCAGAATAGAGAACGAGCAATCTAGGTCCTCACCGGGGTACAAGAGCATATAGAAAATGAAAATGAATCACTCACTCTCGACCAGTGGGGTCAGGACAATTTTGATGCGAAAGATGCGCATGCTATTTCTCTCAATCCCTATCATCTCTTCACCATGATGGCAGCCTCTAAATGCTAGAGTTCACATATGGGGTGTCACCACTAACTAATCAGGAGGTCTTAGACACAGGTTCAAATGACTGGCTAGGGTCTTGGACATGGGGAAAAGGCCTTTTAGGTGGTGGAAGTATTCATAGCAAAAAGGTTCCACATTTTCCAAACACACAATCACAGTCAAACAACCCGGTATTTTCTTTCTGCTATTCTGCATTACTAAATATCTTAAGAGCACAAGAGCGAAGGAGGCATAATCATCAGCATTTCTAAGCCAGACTGCTAAGAGACACTGCGTACTGGGCATTATTCAGATTTTTGGTAGTGGCTCTCTTTTACTTTCAATTTTTTTCTTTGTTTTCCTTTCATTTTTCTTTTCATTCTTAAGAGAGCCACCACGTCTGCATAAATTTCAAACACTTGCCCAACTTTTAAGCACTACCTCCAACACTCACATAGACATTAGCAGAAACAACAGAAAGTATATAGAAACCACTCTGTGGAACCTTCTAAAAGATGCAACAAGGGTGATTTTCTCATTCTAGACCAAAAGAAAGGATAACACACGGCTCAAAGGGGCTGACTAGGGGATATGACACATCAGGACAGTCAGTTTTGGGCGTGGGCTAATCCTATGCCCCCATCATCTTAGCTAGTGACAACGTGAATGCTACACATCATGGAAGAGGGATCTATCGCACAAGAAGGAAACGAGCAGGCTCAAATCTCACATGGCTACCTATATGCTCTATCTCACATTCTGATACCCTGAACTAGATGCATAAACGACTGTCAAGGACAAGTAATCAGATCAAGTCGGATCAAGTCACAGTTGGCAAGCAAACAGTGGAAAAACTGAACCCCTACATCGTTCTACTGCACATTTCAGTCCTCATCATAGGTTGTCCTAGTCGCAAACAAGTTGTCATGCATTAATCCGAAAACCAATCAATTCATCCATCAAAGCACAGTGCCAATATGATCAAACAGCAGTACTCGGAGCCCTCAAATCGTAAGATTTGGACAGTGGACTAGGCTCCAAGCACACAACAGAGCTAATGCAGTCAAAAGATAAACATTCCCCCCACACTTAAGATCGACATTGCCCTCAATGGAGAAGAGGGAAGGAAAGGGGAACGATGTTACCGGTGTGCACAGACTGCAGGAGACTGGAAATGGACCAGTCGGCATGGGACGGACTGGAGAGAGGACCAGTCGGGAACAAAGGCAGAGCTAAAAGAGACCAAAAAGCTCAAACACATACGTTAGGTCCAACGGTCAGCCCAATAGTACAGAATCCAGAATGAAAAGAAACAAAAACCGACACAAAACAGACAGTTGGCATGCTGACACAGATAAAAATCTCAAAACAAGCCCCTAGGGCCCTCCGAGACCGGAGAAATCAATCTGATCCATAAGGTCGTCGACGCCATCATCCGGTGGCTGCCGTGGCGGTGAATGCTCCCACCGGGTGGTCCAGTGGTGCTCCTCTGGAGGGTGGCAAGCCTGGAGCAGATGCTCGGAATACTCCATCAGACGGCGGCCTCGATCTCTCTCCCGCTCGATGAGAGCAGAAGTGTGGCCCATGCTAGTCTCCAATCGGCCTAGGCGCTCATCAACGCCCGTCATCCTGGACCGGAACTCGACCTGGTGGGCCGAGTACTGCTGGTAAAACTGGACCTGATGGTCCATGAGCTGCTGGTTCTGAAGACCGAGCTGCTGGAACTGGAGCCCCATCTGCTGGAACTGCTCCGTGAAGAAGTCCATCGACGGACCTGAAGGACCAGAGGAGGACTCGCCTCTCTCCGGTCTCCGTCGAGGCTGAAGATCCCCAGGAGGGGAGAGCGGGGGCTCCGGCTCATCGGCATCCATGGCGCCGTCATCATCATCATCGGCGTCCTCATCGACCTCCTCGCCTTCGTAGTCATCATCCTCCTCGTCCTCATCAAGGTCCACAACCTCCTCGGGGGGCATAGAAAGCCCATCTACCCAGGTGTGGATGCCGTCAGTGGCCAGGAGTCGTGCACTGTGGAGCACGTCCTGGCTGAGGGGGGCGGAGCCGCCATGCTCGGTCGCATCATGAAGCCCCTCGAAGCTGATCCCGAAGTGGCGGGCCAGCCGGGTGATCAGAGGACCGCAGAAGAGGTGAGTGGGATTCCCGTGGACTCTGGAGAAGGTGGTGGCCACGACAGATCCCAAGTGGAGCATGTCCTCCGGATCCCCCATACAGGACATGGCGTAGAGGACCCGCTTCGGGACCTTGTGCGAGCCGGTGGCGTTGGGGACGATGGAGCGGGTGATCAGCAGGTTCAGAATATGCCACGCCGGCCGGAGAGTGCTGACGTAGGTCTGGCCAGCCACAAAGAAAACATCCCCGGCAACGGCGCCAAAAACTTGACTCACTCCTACTGTCACCCTAGAAAATGGCCAAGTATAACCAATTCCTAAAGCGTAGTATAGCGGGTCGGGTTTTAATGTCAACCCGGGTCCTAGATGTGATGACTACTCGGTGAATTCTTGTTATTTAGCAGTGAACTTTTAGTGAAACTCAAGCAAACAAAACACAGAGCAAGTAAACGGTTTGTTGTCAAGTCAAGAGAGGTCACCCGGATATGGTTTCCCCCTAGACTGCAGTTAAGTCGGATTGCAATTTGCCAAGTTCAGTTTTCATGAAAGTTATACTGCGGAAGGTTCTCAATTAGCCTGAAGTCTCGACTAAAGGTCTCCAGACCCTCTCAATCTGAGTCTCTAGCGGGCGACTAACCTCCACCGGAGTAAACAGATTGAGGCCCTAATGAACCAAACCTCCACTACCGAATTGACTTCGGTACAGAATAGCGAATTGGCCCCTCGACTAAAGTCACCAATTCGCCACCTTCGATTAAGGGTACTCTATCAACCTAGGCAGATATTCTCATTCCAGGTCAAAGCAGAAATAACAGGAATTTGATCAGGATTCAAGTCATTCAATCATTCAAACCTCAATCGAATATAATCAATTCACAACCACTGTACTTGGGTTCATACAATCAGACCTAGCATACAAATCTAGGGTTCTCCATACCCAGATGAATGGGGAAACTACTCCATAGAGAAAGAAGCAAAAGCAGATTCAGACACGGAAATCATACTGTGAAGTTGGATTCCTGCTTCTGGACGTTTAATCGCACTCCTCCAAG